TGGGAGGGGCTGTGGCTCACAGTCTTGTTTTAGAACCTTGCCGTCACTGAGCTTGCTTACAGCCTCATCCCTGTTGCTGTTCCTCAGCCCAGGCAAGGACTGGTCTACTGTCTGTCTGTGAATTTCCCTTTCCATATGTTTTGTATAAAGCGAATCACCAGTATGTCATCGTTACTTGGCATAACAGGTGTGGGTCCACCTGCATTGGCATAGAAAGAATGCTGTCTTTTTCCTTGCTAGATATTCCACCGCACCCTGTTTCTCTGTCGATGGATGGGTGCGCACAGGGTGCAGTGCCCAGGTCTCTGTATAGAGTACGTTTTTCCTTCTCTTGGACAGATTCGAGGGACAGTTTCTGAGCTGTGAGTTGGTGTTTTAGCATTTCAATAAACTGAAACTAGTGTCTAGTGTGGCTCCAGCACAGTCTACCTCCCACCAGCACAAGGGTCCGCTTCTCGCTTCCTTCCCAACATGCTGTGGCCTGTCATTTCCATCCCAGCTCTGCTAGGGACTGTGAGATGGAGCTCAATAGACAGACAGATTCTTTTGTTGGTGTTTATGCTAGTACTGGGGCTTCAACTTGGGGCCTGGTCCTTAGCTTTTTTGCTCAAAGCTTTACCACTTTAGCCACAGTTGCACTTCTGGCTTTTTACGGTTAATTGGAGGTAAGCGTCTCAAGTGACTTCCCTGCCCAGGCTGGCTTCAAAGCATGTTTCTCAGATCTCAGCCTCCTGTGTAGCTTGGATTACAGCTGTGAGTTGCTGGGCTGGTTCTCTATTGCTTTCATGTGCATTTCCCTGGCGGTGTAGTGGGGAGGGTCAGTGAGACCTCTCAGTCCGCAGTGAAAATGTAAAAGATTTTATTGAGTGAAAAGTGCTGACTCGCCAGGACCTCACCTGGAGCTGGGATCCCAGGAAGCAGGCCGACCCATAGGGGCTTTTAAGCATTTGGGGATAAGGCAGGGCCAAGGGGAATAGAACGAAGGGTGGTGATGGCCCTCTGGGTTAGGGCTCCTATTGCTCAAAAACCAGCAGAAGCAGAGGTACAGAGTTACAGGGTTATGGAGTTACAGAGTTACAATTACAGTTACTAGCTAAAGTAATGAGTTACCAGGGAAGCCTTATCCACAGCACACTTACATTTATATCTTAAAAATCATTCATTGTCCATTTTACACAATCCAAGTCAAATATCATACTCCATCTTCACGTCCTCTACCATGTCAGCGGGGGCTGGGAGTGGGGGTAACAAGGTGAGCATCTTTGTTGTATGCTGACCCCCAGGCAGACCATTGACCTTGTGAGTTGAAACGAGGCAAGCTTTCTCTACGAAGGGCCAGATAGTGACTTTGGAGTGGGGGCCACGTTCAGTTTCTGCAGCTTATTCACACACACACACACACACACACACACACACACACACACACACCAGAGACTTTGGGGTGGGGGCCACATTCAGTTTCTACTGCTTATACACACACACACACACACACACACACACAACTCTTAGAAAACCTGTGGGACCATTTTTGGTGTTGTCCTAGACAGACAGACAGGGGGCTGAGCCTGGCCATGTGCTGTAGTGTGTCAGCTGCTTTGAGTCAGTGTGTGTCGTCAGCGTGTGTCCAGCCGCAGGCAGTTCCCAGGCTCAAAGGAATGCCAGGGTCTGCAGAGTTCACACCACACACACCACCCAGCGATGCATCCTCCTGGCAGAGGGGGCTTGGCTAGAAGAGCACAGTTCCAGGGCAGAGCTCCAGGGAGCCTGGGATTCGGGGTTCCGGCCGCAGTCCAGGCCCAGGCCATCCTGAGGCACCGCCTGCCAGGAGACATGCTCCAGTGTCACCTGGGAGGGGCCAGGCCCCGTGGCCCCGGACAGGCGCCTCTGTGTGTCCCGGGGTTCAGAGCCTCTTCTGGGATGCCCCACGCCGGTCCCTGATGTCTGGCTCTTAGAGCCCGGGGGCTCGTCTGCCTGCAGCGCCCTCCGCCAGGCATTCCTCACGCCTTTGGTGGGTGAGGACCTGCCACACCTGCCTCTGCCTGAAAGAGGAAGGGTGCTTGGCACCAGTTTTGCTTCGTGCCTTGTCTCCTCGTCTCCTGCTGGGCCTGGACGAGTCCCTTGTCCTTTGCAGTCCCATGGCGTGCGCTGCAGCTGCCCACTACCCCAGCACCACCACGTACTGGCACCAGGACCCCCGAGGGTGTAGGTGTGTGGCTCTGAGGCCATCTTGACCTGGGCGGTATGCATGCTGAAGAGTAAGGGGAGCCCCGGCCAGTGCCCTGCACCGCACCTCCCTGCTTTGGAACGGTGAACTTGCAGGTGGATCTTCTTTCTGCCCCAGCAGGACTGAGCAGGGGAGCACTGCCAGCCAGCCGCCCGCGCCATTTGCACTCAGTCCCTTGTCTAGAGTCTGTTCCCAGGGGGCCTTCATCTATGGCATGCTGCAGCTCAGAAGTCCTCGCACCCGGCGTGCGCTCGCACCCGGCGCCCAGGGTTCGATGGCAATGCTGAAGCAAGTGCCCCAGCGTGCTCAGAAAGCTGCCACCCTCCCGGACCGGACCACAGAGGTGGGTGGCTGGTGAGCACCGAGCCGGGTCAGAGAGACCATGTTAGTGTGGGCATTGCTGGTGGGTCCTGCTTTGACTTGTTGCCTCTGGTCCTGCAGTTTGGGTTTTCTTGTTTAGAAAGACAGGGTGTCTGTCTGTCTGTCTCTCTCTCTCCTCTCCCCCCTTCCTTTGGAACTCAAGATCCTCCTGCCTCATTCTCTTCAGTGCTGGGATTTCTGAAATGCACCACGATGCCAGTCTACTTTGCAGCATTTAAGTGAGGGCTAGTTTGGAATGGTGCTGAGTAAATATTAATGATGGCTATTTCTGGGTTAAGGGCTTTTTTGAGGTCTTTTAAGTCATTCTCCCTTTTATGCTTTTCAATATGGTTTAAATATTTTATAATGAGCATGCATCATCTTCGTAAAAGAATGAAGTCATTCTTCTTTCCAGAGTAAATGACTTAATGCTAACCAGCAGAATGGGTACTAAGAGCGCTGACCACACTCGAGTAGCGTCCTCTGTGGGACCTTCTGGCCTTTTTGTTTTGGTTGGTCACAGGGCTTGAACTCGGGCTTGGGCGCTGCCCCTGAGCTTTTGTACTCCAGGCTATAGTGCTCTACCACTTTGAGCCCCAGCAGCACTTTAGGTTTTCTGGTGGTTAATCATAGTCTCATGGACTTTCCTGGCTGGGCTGGCTTCAAACCACAATCCTCAGACCTCAGCCTCCTTGTAGCTTTCTTTGGGACTCACTAGGTATGTATGGTGAGTTGTTTGAAAATTACATGGCTCTCTGGGTGCAGACGAAAGCCCAGCCTTGTTTCCCAGGTGCAAGGACTGCTCACATGCTGAGTGCCTGAGATCCCCCTGTGGGGAGGGGTGGTGTGGAGCGCACCTGGGCACCCTGGGCTGTGCCTGCCTGCTGTGATGTAAGGTGAAGGCAGGGGCTCTGCTCGCTGCCCTGGTGCAGTGTGGCCTCGTTGATAGTAACTTGGAAGGTGCTGGTTACCATTCAGAGATGCCTCCGGGACCAGGTGTGTCACGTCACCAAGGCAGACGCCCGTCACGTCCTCACTCAAAGCTAGCTGCACTCCTTGCAATCCTTCCAGCCCTGGAAGGGTGGAAATGTTTCCAGTTCCCTCCATTCCTACCCCTGACACCTCGGACTTTACCTCAGCAGCCTCTTTCCCCTGCTTTGCAGGGTCTGAGAGGAACAGGAGACCAAGAGGAAAGAGGTGGACTGGCGACAGGAGAGGGTGGGGCATGGTGGCTCAGGTTGTAAACAATGGCGAGAAAGAAAATCCTCTGCATTTTGTGCCTGGGTGGTTTTTTCAGAGACGTAAGTATCAGAGCTTCTTTTGTGTTGGCTGTTGAACCTGGACTGTAGAAGAGAAGATGCAACTCCATCCAGGAAGTGAACTCTGTCCAGGAATTACTCGAGTTACACGCTGATGGGCTGGGTGTGGCGCTTGTACCCAGTTGACAGTTGAGGGACCCCAGGCTTTATGGGAAGTTCCAAGTACGGGCGACTCTAGCCTCACCCCCCGCTCGGCCGGTTACCGATCGACTCTGATATGGAGCTTTTCTTCCGGTACTTCCATCTTTAGCTGTGCTTTCTTCAATCACTTCCTGATTCTTAACTCAGAAACGGCTTGGTGGGACTGTGGAGGCCTGCGAGCTTCTGCTCGAGCCTTGGCAGTCAGGGGGAGCCCTCCCCTCCTCTCCCCCCCTCCCCTCCTTCAGACTTAGGCTCAGAGACTGTGCCGTGTCACCCCAGCTGGCTGCTGGTGCAGTGACACCAAAATGAGACTGTCCCCAAGGAGCGGGGCACTTAACGATGAGTCCATCCAGTTGACGTGTCCCTGCAGGCCGGGCAGCAGCGGGGCAGGCAGCTCCGGAGACGGAGGCGGGAGGGAGACTTGCCAGGACCTCCGCCTTCCGACCTCTGTTTCCATGATGTCAGAGAGGCGGAACTTGCCTCGGCCTCCAATCTGAGAGACAGCAGCCCCCACCCCACCACTCTGGCCTTGGAAGCCAGCGGAGGTGCGCATGCTCCTGTCTTCCTTGCCAGGTTTGTGCAGAGAGAGCCCCAGGTTTTCTGGGGCTGTCCTGGGCTTGGGCCTGTCCTGGCCCTCATCCTGGCCATCCTGTTGTGTTACTGCTTTCCGGGGGACCACTGAGAACCTCAGAGGCAGCATCTGCAGCCTGGCCTGCACACCCAGAATACCCCACACCTGCTGTAAAGATTGGCGGAAGAGACGATCGGAAAGAGAATAATTCTTTTCTCTTAAGCCATTGAGATCAGTGTGGAGGTTGCCCTTCTGGTGTTAGGAGCTCGGCTGTCTGCACCCTGTGCCTTGGATCACACCGGTCCCTTCTTCACACGTCTGTTCCTCCTGTCATCTCGAGTCTTCTGCCCTCCTTAAGTCGTATCTCCTTGTGTCTCCCACCCAGAAAAAGATTTACAAATACAAGAAAGTCCTGAGCAACCCAAGCCGCTGGGAAGTTGTCTTGAAAGAGATCCGGACACTCGTGGACATGGCCCTCACGTCTCCCCTTCAGGACGACTCCATCAACCAAGCCCCCCTGGAAATTGTCTCGAAGCTGCTGTCAGAGGTGAGGCCCTCCTCCACTCTACTCTGCCTCTGCTCCCATGCACACACTGTTTTGTGTATGACCTGGTACTGGGGCTTGATCTCAGGGCCTGGGCACTGTCTCTTACTTAAGCTTGAGCCACAGCCCTACATCTGATTTTCGGTTGGTTAATTGCAGGTAAGAGTCTTAAAGACTTTCTTGCCTAGGTTGGCTTTGAGCCTAGATTCAGATCTCAGCGTCCTGAGTAGCTAGGATTATAGGTGGGAGCCACCAGTTCCCAGTGCATCCCCCCTTTGAAGTTTGCATTTGCATCTGGAGCACCAGCCCCTTCCAGCCACAGACGCCAGCGGAGCTCTGCTGGCAGAGGAGGCGGTGGCAATGGAGGTTTTCTTGCTCTGGCTGTCTGAGCTTCACTGCCTAGGGCTTGTCCAGACTCAGAGCCAGGGCTAGTGGGGCTGGTAGCAGCAGCCTCGGCACCAGCAACAGATGCCAACTCCGGGATCCTCTGGTGGTTCGTGCGGGGAGCACGCCAGTGACACCTGGCCGTAGCCTGGCACAGCTCTACCGGCCCCTCATCTCCCCACGCAGCCACAGTTGGGCTTTGTGTGCCCGACTCAGGATTTAATAAAAGAAAGAAAAAAGTAACAGGAGATTGCACAGCCAAATGGGAACTTCTAGGTTCTCTCACTTTTTTTGGGGGGAAGGGGGGCAGTCATGGGGCTTGAACTCGGGGACTGGGCACTGTCCTGAGTGTCTGTTCACTCAAGGCTAGCGCTCTACCACTTGAGCCACAGCGCCATTTCGGGCTTTTTCTGCTTATGTGGTGCTGAGGAATTGAATCCAGGGTCTCGTGTATGCAAGGCAAGCGCTCTAACACTGAGCCACCTTCCCAGTACTCTAGGTTCTCTCTTTAAACAATAAGACATTCAGAAAACTCAGCCACTGTGCTCAGCATCAGGCAGCACCATCAGCCCTGCCAGCGGCTCCACATTAGACTTTGCCCTGCATGCCAGGCACCATTTGCACTGCCTTCCTGGCTGTGTTCTAGTACGGCTGTCTGTCAGCCTTCTACAAACATCCCTGCTTGCCTGCCTGGCCCCTGGGGACCCTGAGGGAGATTTAACCGAGTCGCCGTCACATGATGACAATTGTCACATGATGACAATTGTCACATGATGACAATTGTCGCATGATAATTCCCCAGCTCCTTCCTGCTTGCTCTGCTCTTTCTCCCGCACCCTCCCTGCTGTCCATCCTGCAGGCCCAGGCCTGCCCGCCGTCCCTCAGTGCAGGCACCCATTCTGCAGTGCTGATAGACACTCTTTCGCCTGGGAGGAGACCGGGCAGAGGGTACAGAATGGTGGCAGTGGGGACGCCCTCAGGGGAGCTGGCCTCGTTCTGTTCCACAGAGGAGGAAAGCTTAGATACTAAGCTGACTCACACCCCATGTCCAGCGCCCAATCCCAAGTTCAGGCCTTTCACCTGGAGAAAGGAAATACATCCGTCAGGTGCCGGGGCCCCACGCACGGCACGTTCCCATTCTGTCTGCAAGGCAGCTTTGCTGTCTTCATCTCATACATAAGGAAACTGAGGCCAAGGGACACCAAGGGACCTGCCCAGCCCACCGTGTTGGGCTGGGAATTCCACCCCGAGCTGCCTGGCTCTTTCTTTTTTTTTGGTCAGTCGTGGGGCTTGAACTCTGGGCCTGGGCGCTGTCCCTCAGCTCTTCAGCTCAAGGTGAGCACTCTACCACTTGAGCTGCAGCGCCACTTCCGGTTTTCTGGTGGTTTATTGGAGATAAGAGTCTCACGGTCTCTCCTGCCCGGGCTGGCTTTGAACCTCGATCCTCAGATCTCAGCCTCCTGAGTAGCTCTGCTGACAGGCGTGAGCCACCAGCGCCCGGCCTGGCTCTTTCTTCTGCAGACCACATTGTCTGGTTTCTCTGACACCACCGTCAGGTATAGCAGTGGCCAAGGTGGCCCGTGTGCCTTGTAGCCAGCTGTGGGCCAGGCATTGGAGGGCAGGGCCCTGTGTCGTTGGCTGGGCCCTGGCGCCAGGCCTGCCTGACACGGAGCCTGTGGAACACAATGTCAATGTCACAGGAGATGCTCTGGTCTGGACCCCAAGCACATCTCTGCCAGGTATCTGGAGAGGAGTGCTAGAAAAGCACTGAAATGTCAACAAATTTATTCAAACTAATTTTGTTTTTGCAAGTCTATTGCTGGAATTTGAGGTTAGCTGTGCCCACTCACGGAACACCAGGGTTCCTTGAGAACCTCTTGAGAACCACTGAGGCACCGTGGTAAAACACCACCTGATGCTACGTGGAGGCTCGTAGAAAGTCCACTCACCTGTGTCCCACACTCCTGTGTACTGTGAGTCGGCCTTGCTGGCTCCTGGGCAGAGTCCTCACAGAGGGCCGGCCAGGATAGACACCAGCTTCCCCTTTGTCCAGAGTAGAAGCTGAATCGCACCAAAGGCCACACGGCTTAGCCACCGTGCTTGCTATGGGGGGGAGGCAAGGTTCTGAGATCCAGTGGGCCTTTGGAACGCAGACTCTGTTTTCTTGATTGTGTTTTCCTCTTTCTCTGTCCTGCTCTTTAGAACACAAACCTGACCACCCAGGAGCATGAGAACATCATCGTGGTGAGTCCCCCTCTGCCCTGCCTGCCTCCCGGACCCCAACCCCGCCCAGCCCAGCCTGGCCCGGCCCGGCCAGCTCCATGGCCCCTGCTTGGTTCTGACGCTCAAGCCCCAGTGGATGGGGGGCGGGGGTGGGGGCGCTAGTCAGTCTTCAGGGCTCCTGAGTCTGCTCTGGGAGGCGCTAGTGGCGCTGTCATTTATTTGCAGCGTCACTTGTTTCGGGAAAGGTCACAGGTCTTTTTCTGCCCCAAGCATCTGTCTTCTTCCATCCTAAACAACAGTGAACAGAATTCCTTCTGATATGTAAAGTAGGACATTATTTTCTGGGATTCAGTGATGCACCTCGGGGAAGAAGCTCTGCTGGGGTAATTTTAAGCTGTGAGACGAGGCAGGGAGAATGCAGAAATGAAACCGCACCCATTTCGGGCAAGCCCTGCTTGAACTACAGTGACTGAGGCAGACCGCATAGGACATGTCACCTGTTGTAGGAAGACAGATGTAAGAGACAGGCCATAAGAGAGGGGAGAGTGATCTAAAAAAGCAACCCGAAAGCTCCCCCGAAGCAGTAGCATCTCAGTTGGGTTTTGAAGGATCGATAGAAGTTTGCCAGATAGCAAACTGGAACAAAGGCATCTGGAAAGAGGAAACAAAACTCTGCAAAGATGCAGAGATTTAAAGCAATCTGGTGTCTTCTGGAAGCTTCTCTATTGCTGGAGTATAAAGCATTAGAAAGTGAAAAGTTGGGAGTCAGACCTAGAATTGGAAACGAGAGACGGAGCTCTGGGTGCTTGGAGATGATGCACAGTGAGCCTGCCCAGCAGCTCCCCTGGCCTCTACAGGAGCAGTGCGCAGGGCTCAGGCCCCTTGGGCTCTTGGCAGTTGAGGAAGGGTCGTGGGCATCCACCCCTCAGCCTGGTGAGCCCAGCGTCGTACTCTGAGCCTGGCAAGAGATGACCCTTGGCCTGGGGTCTCATTCAGGGCAGTGTCAGTGCCCGACACCTAGTGGGTGCTCAGCCAGCACTTGCCAGAATTCCTGCATCCCATCATGGCTGCCTGCGCCTCTCTTGCCAGAATGGGGAAAGCCGCCCCGGGCACCCGTCACCTGCTGGCACCTTCTCCAGTGTCTGCCATGGATCAGTTCATGGGACGAACATTGGTTGAGCAGGGTAATCGGCTCTGCCCTGCAGGCTGAGTGCCCACCAGAGACAGGGGGTGGGGGGTGGGAGGCGGGGGGCTGTGCGCCAGGGGCGCGGCTGAGGGCCAGGTTCATTGTCAATGTTGGGGGCGCGTGGAGGAGCGGTTAAGTGGACCTCAGTGAGCTCTTGGGAGGAGGTAAGGGAGGTAAGGGTGGGCAGGGGTTTCCAGGAGGAGAAGGCTGCGCTGTCGTGAAGGATGGATGAGAACAGCACCCGTGGAGAAGGGCGGGCGGAGGCCGAGCCTGGCTGAGCAGAGTTGGGGTAGAGGTGGTAGTCCCTGTCCCCATGAGGCCGCCTTGAGGGAGGAGCCTTGGAAAAAATTTGTTCTGGAAACCCAGGCTGCAATTACTCAGCTACGGGACAGAGTTGACCCCTTAATGGGGTCAGGCTGGGCGTCCCTGCCCAGCAGGCAGGCCTGGGAGCCCAGGGGAGCTGACACGTCGCCCCTGCCCGCCATACCCCCTTCCTTCAGCATTACTACGGGGCACCATCACGACCGCCTTCCGTCCAGGAAGCACGTTATCATATCTGACCTATTGGCGGTTAGTTACCCCAGTGGGCCTTGGTGGGTTTCATGTACTGATTTTTCCACTGGAATCTGATTTGGCTTTCTTCATTCTCTTGGCAAGGATCCTAATCAATAGAAGCCACCATTGGCCGGCATGGTGTGTCACCGGGCAGCGCAGGCCTGACATCCAAACCCCAGCCTGGGCCCAGCCACCCCGGGGGGTGCAGGGTGCCAGGAAGGGCTCAGGCTCCATGGTAGACATGGGTTCAGTTCAGACCTGACAGTCACCTTAGGTTATTAACAGTTGGAGGTCAAAGTCTCGTGGACTTCCCTGTGGGTTGACTTTGGCTCTCAATCCTCATATCTCAGCGTCTCCAGTTAGCTAGAATTACAGGCGTGAGCGGCTGGCACTCACCCAGCCAAGATCACATTTGTTCCCAGTCTGGTAAGGAAAGTTTGATCCCAGTCTGGGCAGGAAAGTCCGTGGGACCTCTTCCCCTCCCCCACCCCCCCATGAGATTCTTATCACCAATTAACCAGCAACAAACAACAACAAAAAAAGCTAGAAGTAGAGCTGGAGCTCAAGTGGTAGAATACCAGCCTTGAGCAAAACAGCTCAGGAACAGCACCTAGGCCCTGAGTTCAAAGCAACAGTAGCAGCGCACACGCGCGCGTGCGCACACACACACATACAATGTAGCCTAGTGCTGGCCACGGTGCTGTGCTGTCTCAGTCAGGTGCTCTGTTCTGAGGGACCTGGGTGGATGCCAGGCAGCTCTGAAGCCCGGGAAGTTGTGTTCATCACCATGGGTGTGTGAGGCTGCGTTTTCATCTTAAGTTGCCTCCCTCTGCAGACACTGCGTCCCTTCCCGCCCGCCTTTCCTTCTGGCTGATGTCTGTCCATCCGTTGTCTTTCAGGCCATCGCTCCTTTGCTGGAAAACAACCACCCACCACCAGATCTCTGTGAATTCTTTTGCAAGGTATGGTGGTGCCACAGCGGGGCCCTATTGCACGAGGCCTCTGCACATACGTGGGGCCAGATGAGGTGGGCTGGGGCGGTGTTACACAGCCCAGGCCCAGCAGCCTGGGTCTCAGTCTCAGACACCAGTGGACGGCCTGCGGGCGGCTGTTCTCGCACCACATCCCTCTCTGCCAGACATGTTTAAGAGCAGGGTTGCCACCCAGGGGTCCGGGAGGGGATTGTCTGCTTTTCTTTGGAATATTCCTAGTTGTCTTGGGAGGCAGTTTGCGGCTGATTTTTCTAGGCCCTTGACGTCAGAGCTGGGTTATTCTTAGCAGAGGCTCTCCAAGCACCGGCTGGCCCACAGAGGGGGCCTGGCCGTGGGGCTTTCCCTGGCTGGGAGAAGCTGGCAGAGTGTGCCAGGTCAGCCTGGAGGAGCTGTGGGGCAGGGAAGCGTGCCCAGGGATGCAGCGCCAACATTTTCAGCAGGATTTACACACTACATTCCCAGCTATGCCAGGAGCGGCATCCCTGGTTCCTAGAGCACAGCTTGGTGGCACAGAACCGTGTGTCTGTCGCAGAGCAGCAGAGCAGGCGTCCGGGAATGGGACCCAGGTGCCCCAAGCCCTGTGGGTGTCAAAGGGAGACAGCCTTCACACACACACACACACACACACACTCTCGCACACTCACACACCTGGCCTGAATCAAAAATCTAGAATATTCTAACTTCCAATTGCTGACATGAGTGCACCTGACAGGTCACAGGAAAAAAACATGGACAAACTGAAAATACAGTATAAAAATGCCCTTCAGGCTCTGTGTAAAACTACATCGAAAGTCTCTTCTTTAGACTCAGTTGGGTCCCCAGGATATCTCATTATGTACATGCAGATATCACAGAGCCTCAGAACCATCTGGTCAGCCGAGTCACCAGCGGTTTGCTGAGTAGTCTGGCCTAGGGGTGCCGTTCTGAGGGAAGCCAGACCCTGGAGGTTGCACAGGATGCAGGGCTCCAGGGGCCCTTGGCTTGGGGAGGTAGGGTGGTGATGGCGCGCAGGATTTTGGGGACATGGAACCCTGTGGCCTGTACTGCTGGTGTGGCTAGCACGTGTCCTCAGACATCTACCAAGGGAGGCCTGGAAGAAGGGCCACAGGGACGTGCCGGGTGGGCTTGTCACCTGGGACAAGGGATTCGCACGTCCACTGACTGTAGCCCTCCCTCCCCAGCACTGCAGAGAGCGACCTCGGTCCATGGTGGTCATCGAAGTGTTCACCCCTGTGGTCCAGAGAATCCTCAAGCATAACATGGTGAGTGACCAGCCCCAGGCTGGCTTCAGGCTGTGATCCTCTGATCTCAGCCCCTGAGTAGCTGGGATTATAGGCGTGAGCTACCAGTGCCTAGCTAAGGTTGCTTCTCCTCTGTCCTTCCTCCCCCCGCCCCCCTGCAGTGCTGGGGATTATTAAGTCTAGAGTTTCATGTATGTCAGACAAGTGTGTGTGTGTTCATTGAGCTGAACCCTAGCTGTGGGTCCACTGACAGGGACACAGAGGATGATTTAGGGGTACCAATGCCTGTGGTCATCCACATCATTTCCCCACGATTGGGAAAGATTGAGCCCTGCCTGTCTGCTCATGAGCACCCCCAGTATGTGTAAAGTGCAGGGAAGGCCTGTGCGGCCCTGTTCCCCATTCCTGAGCGTGGGAATGGGCACAGGTGGGCAGGAGTGCAGGCTCTCCTCCCTGCCTTACCTGTGTCTCCTGACCAGCCGAGCCCCCGGGCCCTGGCCAAGCACTCTTGGCACTTGCTCCTCCACGGCTTGCCTGCTGACGTGCGGTCATTGGGGAAGCGGCGAAGACGTCATCTCCAGTTATGCCACTCAGCTGGAGCGGGAGGGCCCCTTTGTCCTTGGCCAGAGCCTCTTAATTCAGCCTCCTTCTCCCAGGCTGGGAGCGCCGCCTTGTCTCAGGCTGTGCCGTCGGCCATGCCCCTCCTCCTCCCTGCTTCCTGCCGGCGATGACACGGCTGCATGCCAGTCCTTCCTCCACCCATCCTCCCTGGCCATTTCCTCCACACCCACTTCACACTTTCTCCCCCACTCCCGCCACACACACACAAACACTGACACACACACACACTGACACACACAGATACACACATACACACACACACTGGCCATTTCCTCTACACCCACTTCACACTTTCTCCCCCCCCCACTCCCGCCACACACATACACACACACACAGATACACACACACTGGCCATTTCCTCCACACCCACTTCACATTTTCTCCCCCCCCACTCCCTCCCCCATCCTCTACACCCACTTCACACTTTCTCCCCCCCCCACTCCCGCCACACACACACACACACACACACACACACACACACTGGCCATTTCCTCCACACCCACTTCACTCTTTCTCCCCCCCCCACTCCCTCCCCCACAGATACACACACACACACACACACACACTGGACTTGTCCAGCCATCCTTCCTTTATCTTGTCTGTTTGCCTTTTTTGTCTTTAGTTTGTTTTGCTTTGTTTAGCTAGTCCTGGGCACTGTCCCTGAGCTTCTTTTGCTCAAGGCTAGCGCTCCACCACTTGAGCCACAGCCCCACTTTGGGATTTTTCTGTTTTATGTGGTACTGAGGAATTGAACCCAGGGCTTCATGTGTGCTAGGCAAGCATTCTACCACTAAGCCACATTCGCAGCCCCAGCCTTTTCAGTTTTTGAGAGAGCCTTGACATGTATCTGATCAAACTGGCCTGGAACTCAAGATCCTCTCGCCTCAGCTCCCAAGTTATTGGGATACACAGGCCTGTGTTTGCTGTCCCTCCATAGGTGTGTGTGTGTGTGTGTGTGTGTGTGTGTGTGTGTGTTTGAGAGAGAGAGAGAGACTGACTAAGACAAACTCAGGGCCAGGGCTCTGTCTAGCAGCTTTTTCACCCAAGACTGGCATTCTGCCACTTGAGCCACAGTTTCACTTTCAGGGTTTGGGGTGGTTAATTCGAGATAAGAGTCTCATTGCCCAGGCTGGTTTCGAATCACAATCCTCAAATCTCAAGCCTCCCGAGCAGCTAGGATTGTAGGCATGAGCCGTCTCAGCCTTTCGAGGGTCGCTTTCTCTCCAGCTGATAACACCTGATATCACATGTTCCTTCCGTTCATGTGGGCTCCCTGCCCCTTATGCCTCCCCGCCCCCAGGCACACCCATAGGAAGTCCAGCATCCTTCCTAGGGCGGCGGCCTCACACCGGGCTCCTCTGAGCCGCACTCACTGCCCAGGCGCTAGCTCACTGGAAGCGAAACCCACGAGTTCTTGGGTGACTGCATAAGAAGCTTCCAGCTTCCCTGGGGTGGACAGGGGCTGAGCTGGACCTGAGCAGGTCTGTGGTTTGTGCTGACCTCTGACCTCCCTAGAAGAGCTTTGAGGTCCAGGCCAAGACATCAGACTGCCAGAGGCCACTAGAGGTGTGGCTGAGCCAGTTAACCTTTGAGACAAAACCTCGGTGCGCTTTCCCCACCTCACACACCGGCTCCAGGCAGAGCTGGGGCCTGCACCCTTCTGGGCCCACAGTGGCCCGGGCCCTGGCCATCCAGCTCACGGCCTCTGCTCTCCCCGCAGGACTTCGGCAAGTGCCCGCGTCTTAGGCTGTTCACTCAGGAGTACATCCTCGCCTTGAACGAGCTCAATGCGGGCATGGAGGTGGTCAAGAAGTTCATCCAGAGGTGGGTCTCCACTGGGACTCCTCACTGCCATGACCTGAGCACTTCCCCTACAGTGACAGCCCCGTGCCCGTGTGACACGAGCAGGCACTGGTTCTCTTCCCTTGGCTCTCCCTGCTGGGGCCGCCACGTAGAGGCTGGCACATGAGGATCCCCCAGCAGGACGTGGCACCCAGGGGCCAGGAAAACTACCGTAACTGTGTCCCCCAGTGTCCGGTGGCATGAGGTCTTCCCTGCCCCTGGGTTATGGTCTGCAGCCCTGAGCCACAGCGACACCCCAGAGAGATCCCCCGCTCCAGCCAAGCCCGAGTGACTGCCCTAGGCCCCACACCTGAGGGCACAGAGGGACCTGTGGCTCAGGCCCAAGCACCAAGAGTCCAAGGACGCGGCCCCAAGCCTGTGTCTTCAGGTTCTTTGTGTACCCGTTGCAGAGGGGACCGCATTAGAGTGGAAGACCCGGGGCAGACGGGGGCTGACGCGGGCCACCCGGGCACTTGGACCTGCCGCCCACAGCTGGAGTTTTGCCCTCGGCTGTCACCGTCCAGCCAGCATGGCGGGTTCTAAGGCCTCCATTCTGTGCTGGCAGAGTGGGTGCTGCCCCCCCACCCCCCACACCGCCTCTGCACACAGCCTCTCACCACATTCTACTCTCTTCCAGCATGCATGGCCCCACGGGCCACTGCCCTCACCCCCGGGTCCTGCCCAACCTGGTGGCTGTGTGCTTGGCTGCCATCTATTCCTGCTACGAAGAGTTTATCAACAGGTCAGCACCGGGACGGGGGATGGGGTGGGGCTCCCCTGTCACGGGCACACCTCGCCTAGGGGATTGTCCCAGTAGTGTCTGGGCTAGGCTGCTCTCAGGGCATAGGACTCAGTCCTGAGGCATTAAAGAAGACCCTGATGGGCACCAGTAACTACAAGGCTGAACTGTGCCTGAGCCACAGGAACCAGCACCCAATGCTGCAGCTTCCTATAACAGAGACAGGAGAACCATGCTGGGGTGCGTGCAGATGGGCAGGTACATGCATGTGCACCAGGCAGGGGCACTGGGAATGCGGGGTGTGGCTCGAGGTTCTGCAGGCTGGATGCAGGCAGCCTGGCTTCAGCCTTGAGGACAGCTGGTCTTGAGGGAGATACTTGCAGGGTCATGTTTTCCCAAGGCAGTTGCAGAGCAAGCCACTGTGGGAGCACGCAAGGTGGGCGAAAGGTGAGCTCTGGACACCAGTGCCGAGAAGAGGGTGCAGAGGGCTTTGGTCTAGGAGTCATTCCCAAGAGCAAACTCCCAGCCTAAGACCTGGTGCAAGTAGCGTACCTGGCAGCCGCTCCTGCCTGCCGTGGAGATCCCAGCACTGGTTGGGGCCACTCCTATGGTGCAGAAGGATGCCAGTGCCAGCAGTGTTGGGGGACTCTGCAGTGACATCTAGCGTCACTGGGCGGCTGTGATCTGTGGGACTCTTAAGGGGACCACACTGTCCAGGCACCTCTAGAGCTTCTGCAAGTATGCGCACACCCACAGATCCGCATGCCCGGCTCCTCACATGCGTCTGACTCGCCCGCCTGCTGGGCTGCTCTGAACACCTCAGGGCCAGGGGTGGGGCAGGAACCAGCGGAGAAGCCGCTTCTTCCGCAGCACCCCTCTGCCTGTGCCCAGGAGTGGGGCTCCCTAGGGTCAGAATGCTTGGCTGCACTCTAGAAGGTCAGAGGTGATGAGAACCAGAGCTAGGAGCACTCACTGCTCAGGCCGCCATCCTGGTCTTCCCCTATCCCCGCTTGCTTAGGTCTCTGCTGGGCCACGTGCTAATGAGCAGTGAAGCTGCAGGCGGCCCCTGCCTTCTGGAGGGGGTTGAGGGGGTTGGGGTGAGGCTGGAAAGACCAGGGGCATGTATGTAACATGCTGAGGTGCGGGGTCCCCACGCTGGCTGTGGATTAGAGCCACCTGTGAAAGTTTGAAAAAACCAAGTGGAAAGCTGAACCTGGTGAGCCAGCGTGTCCGCTTCTGTGTGTCTTTTGGTCTGTTTGTCATAAACGTGCACACACATGTTTATAGCAGCATTACTTTTAATAGCCCCAAACCAAAACCTTCCGCAAGTCACATGTCCACGGCAGTAGAACAGATAAATAAACTCTACAAAGAGGACACATGAGTGACGCACACGGAGCCCAGCACCCCTCGCCAGCCAGCCACAAGCTGAAGACACAACACCGAGTAAAACTGGCCAGGTGTCCCCTGTGTCACTTCTGGTAGTGGGGCCGAAACAGGAGCCTGCCATGCTGCCAGCCTCCTGTGGAGTTCGTTTCACAGGAAGCTCAAGATGAGGCAGAAACGTAACGTGTGGTAACGGAGAGTGGAGGCCAGAGCCTTGGTGCCTCCGGCGGGGCTCGGGGGTGGGGCTTCGGGGCTCCTGGTACCCCAGGGAGTTTTTCCAGTCCTCCTCCCAGACACTTGCAGGGTGTCGGTGTTGCAGAGTGCCCTGGCATCGCTGGGGAGCCCCAGACACCAGCAGAGTCCACGCTGATGGCTATGAGGCTAAGGGGTGTGCGCAGTCCACACGCACACCGCCGTCCTGTGTGCACACGACTCGTGTGCCCGGCTCCTTGCTATCTTGGGAAGCACAGCGCTTCCTGCCCCACGGTCAGGTAGAGTGCCGGAGGTCAGTGGTGGTCCTGGGCATATTTACGGCAAGAACATTGGCAAGCACCAAAAATCGGGCAGTCTTTGTCCTGGTGACAAAGTTGCTAGATTTTCCCCAGCATACTAGGAAAAAAAAAGATGGCAGGGCTCCCCTTGCTATTCTGATTGATTGAGGTCACCCTGGCGTGGAGGGTCGTCGAGTTGAACTCCTGAGGCTGAATGGAGATCTCTTGCTGAGTGAGTGGGAGGTGGGGACCTCCTGGCTCTAGCGAGGCCCCAGGCCAGAGGGGTGTTCCGGGCAGAGGCAGTTGTACATATAAAGGTGACAGAGTTCTGGTGGACACATTTTTTTTCCACCTGTGGTTCTCAAGTGCCTGGCCTGCCACTTAGAAATCCAGAATCCTCTGAGTTGGACAAGGAGCGCCCTCCTGTCCTGTCGTCCTAGCGCGGAAGGAGCTGAGGCATAGAGACAGTGAGCTCAGGCCAGCCGAGCTAGAGAGCAAGACCTTGTCTAAACACAAAGACAAGCAGAGTGCTGGCCTGGGGATCTGCATCCTGCACTCTTCAGGACGTCTGTACGGTGGAGCACGTCTGCAGAGAGGAGCAGAACAAAATCCTGAAGCTGAGAAGAGAAGCATAAGGAGGAGTTGGTGAGGGAGGCGAGCCGAGGCACGGGGAGACAGCAGACCGAGCTCCTCAGGCCCCGGCCTCCCAAGGGCCCCTATGGCTGGAGCAGGTTCGGGTTCAGCAAGCCAGGGCTTGCCGCATGGGCCGGGGCTAGAACCACGTGTTGTACAGACAGGCTGCGCTGTTTCGGTGACAGCAATTTTATTCAGTGAGCATTGACGAGTTTTCAGGGGGATATTCAGCAGGAAGAGACAGAGGCGGAGCCATTTCCACCCCAGCCTCCCCCCCACCCCCAGCTGCCGCTGGGTGAGGATGGGCCTCGGGGCAGGCTCGTGGGGGCGGTCGGATGGAAGAGGGGGAAGCATGGGGTGGACAGGACCAGCCTGCCACCTGCTTCCCAGCCCAGCCTCAGCACCAGGCTCGGCAGAGCCAGCCCTCAGCTGATAACTGTTCCCTTCTCCTGGCTGTCTCCTGAGAAGCTAGGGGCTGCTGGGGTGTTCCCAGGCTCGGGCCCCCCGTGCTCCATTGGTCAGTACTGCCCAGATAAAGCCACAGTGTCCTCAGCCCTCCGCTGTGCTCTCAGCGAGCACACGGTGTACCCACATGCGGAACAGACAATATGACCCAGGTTAGTGCGGCTCTCAAGCCCAAACAGCCTTGAACAATCCACTCCCAAACACAGCAACGGCAAACCCGGGGGAATGGAGTGTGGGCGTTTGGGGAGCAAATGAGGTCTGAACTGGAGAAGTTGCAGCCGCCCTCCCCTCCCTGCCCCCTTCCCCAGACCACACACAGCTCGCCGCCCACCAGAGATTCTCGTATTAGCCAGTGGATTTTTTCCCCCAGGCGTGTTTACAGTATATTTATTCGACTCCTTTGGTGGGCCGGGCCCAGCCCTGGCTGATAGCAGGTGTGGATGAGCTTGACCCTCCCTCTGTGTAGACTCTTGAGTTTTGCACACGGCCCCTGGAGCTGTTGCACTGAGCGCCATCGCGTGGCCCACCCTGCACCCTGGAACATCTGCTGCCCTTCGGGGCACAGGGCACAACGTGGCCCGGGTGAGAAAGACCTGGGTAGGCCGCTGCTTCAGTCACAGCATGGTGCTCAGGACTGTGTGGAGCTCAAGAGTCTGAACCTCTGGAAATGATGCCCATCAGGCCTCACCCAGAGGGTGTTGAGGGGCCCGGTATCCAGGGAGAATGCCAGGGGCAGGAAGAAGAAATCAAAGGGATTTTCTGGGGCATTAGGGACTTTGGAAGACCCTACGGATGGAAGGGGCTGGGGTTGTGCAGATCTGGCCTGAGCTCAGAGCTGTGGACTTGAGCCCTGGGGTTGAGGGCAGGCCCCTTCACCCGGCGCTTCTATCCCCGTCATCTCCCTCAGATGGTGACTGGTCTCATCTGTGTGGCAGCACAGCACTGCCAGCTGGGGCACAGCCCAGGGAGCCAGGAAACACTTGGTGAAGGAGACACTTTACCAGATCAAGTCTCTGACAAGTCCCACTGTAAAGAAGCCTAATTTCACTGTGTTTCAAACATCTGTGACATTAATGATGCTGAAACAGCCCTGTCCCCTGTTACCACCCATTTGCCACCAGGGCAAGAACCGCCCCTGCGGCTGCTGGAGTCCATGGGGGGAGGTGCGGGCACCCAGGCCTCCCCGCTTGAATTGTGTGGTTCAGCCATGGAAGGCCAGGCTCAGCAAAGTGCATGTGCCCAGCAGGTCTGTGGGCCTGTGGCATCATGGTTGGGAGTAATCTGCTACTCCCAGCCTGGACGCAGGGCGGCCTGAGTGTGGGGTGAGGGAAGCATTCGGCACCCTGGTACTGTGTGTTCTGAGCAATCAGGAATCCTGGCCTGTGATTTCATGGCTTTTATTTGCAGGGAGTATTTTGCGGGTGTTTATTGGGGCTTGAAACTCAGGGTCTGAGCACTGTCCCTTAGTTTTTTCATTCGAGGCTGGTGGTTTGCCACAGCTCCACATCTAGCTTGCTTAATTGGAAGATAAGAATGTCATGGACTTTCCTGCCTGTGCTGGCTTTGAATCACAGTCCTCAGATCTCAGCCTCCTGAGTAGCTAGGGTTCCAGGTGTGAGCCACTGGTGCTGTGCTGTGCTGTGCTGGCCTTTCTGATCACTGAGCGGGACCCATGCTCACCGCCCTCTCCCCCTCTTCCCAGCCGTGACAACTCCCCTAGCCTGAAGGAGATCCGGAACGGCTGCCAGCAGCCGTGTGACCGGAAGCCCACCTTACCTCTGCGCCTGCTGCACCCCAGTCCGGACCTGGTGTCTCAGGAAGCCACGCTGTCCGAGGCGCGGCTCAAGTCGGTGGTCGTGGCCTCCAGCGAGATCCACGTGGAGGTGGAGCGCACCAGCACTGCCAAGCCAGCGCTGACGGCCAGCGCCGGCAACGACAGCGAGCCCAACCTCATCGACTGCCTCATGGTCAGCCCCGCCTGCAGCACCATGAGCATCGAGCTGGGCCCGCAGGCCGACCGCACCCTGGGCTGCTACGTGGAGATCCTCAAGCTGCTGTGAGTACCACCGCCCTCCCCAGGCCGGGGCTCGGGGCTGGGCTCTGCCGCCCTGGGCCGCCTCACCCGTTGGATTACCACAAGTGGAGGTGGGCATGGTTAAGGTGTGGTGGTGTCTGCGCACTCAAGGTGGGGGGGGGGGTGTGGGGCCAGGCACCAGTAACCAGTCGTGAGGTTCATAGTTCAAAAATCTGTGACACTCTGACCTCCAATGAGCCACTAGAAAACCGGAAGTAATGGTATGTCTCAAAGTGGTAAAAAAGCTCAGAACAGCACCCAGGCCCTGAATTCAAGCCCCATGACTGACAGAAAAAGAAAAAGAAGTTGGTTGTGTGGAAGTGTGCACAAGTGTGAGCGTGAGTGTGTGGAGCACACAGGGTCGTGCACCGGGTTTGAGGGTCTGGGCATATTGCAGCTGCCTCTGGAAGCATTATATGTGCTAGTGTGCACATAGTGTGCACGTGTCTGGGTGTGCAGGAGCCTGTAGGTACTCATACGTCTAAGACATTGCCACACAGTGTGCGTACGTGCGGGTTTGCTCTGAGCTTGTGGTTGTGGTGTGCATGGGTGTGAACTGGATGTGGGCATGCACGGGGACTTCTCTGAGTGGCCTGTGGGGGGGGGGGAAGCACACGAGGGTGTTCAGACACCTGCAGGGGTGTGTGTGTGTGCATGTGCATGATTTTTGCCACAGAAGTGGAATGTACACAGGTCTCCCTGTGTATGTCTGTGAGTCAGTGTACATATAGGAGTCATGCACACTCGTGTGGTGTGTGACATTTATGTTAAGTGAATTTGTGTACAGGTGCACATTCTGTCAGCGGAGGGTTCTTTATGCAGGGAGTGTAGAAGTCTGGGCACTTGTGCGTGGCTGTCTGAGGAGTTGTGTGTATACATCATATGTGTTCTAAGAAAAGGATTCCGGTAGACCTTGCCGTGGTCTGGCAGCTCCTCAGAGGCGGGGAGGGGGGTGAGATTATGGTCTGCCCTGGGCAATGCTGCCTCTGAACTCAGTGCTATCCATGTCCAGCCCAGGCCTCAGCTGCCTGATGGAAAGCGGGGGAGGGGGCCTCAGACCTGCACTCACACGATTAGATGCAGGCGGCGGCGGCTGCTGGACTCTAAGGAGTCTCAGTAAGGGCTGTGCCTTCCCATCTCCTGACACCACGCTTGCCCACCTCCTGACACAGGGTGTGTGTATGAGGCCAGTCACTCCCCAGAGCCTGCTCCTCATTGTAGTCGGTGTGGGCTGGGGTTCTCTGGCCAGATCTGCTCCGAGTTCCCTCAAGGCAGGGAGCCGTCTGCTCGTGGGGGAGGTCACAGCCCAGGAACAAGTCCAGGTTCTTGGAGCATAGCTCCTGCACCTCGGGGCCCAGCCCCAGGTGCGCCCAGGTCCTGACTCCCAGGTTCCTCGAGCACTGGGTTGTACGTGTCACCGCACAGTTGACACGTTGACACGCTGGTGAATGAGGACTCTGTCTGTTCCTCCTGTCACTATACCACAGGGCCAGGACAGATGGAGCCTGGGACAGTCCGGAAATTACTCGGTCCCTGGCCAGGGTGGGGTGGGGTTGGCCCCCTGCTCAAAGCAGCAGTTCACACCCAGTGCCAGGTCTCTGCAAGTGGGTGTGAGCTTCTAGAAGCTTCTTTCATATACTCAGGCATGTTAGGTGTGAGCAGCAGATGTAGGCTGGGTCTCACTAAGTACATCACCCTCCCCTCCCCCTCTCCCCCCGTGGCACATCCTATTTCATGACGTGCAAGGTGATGACCCCCTCCCGCCCCCCCCCCCCGTGGCACATCCTATTTCGTGACATGCAAGGTGATGCGTGTGGCTGCCTTGGCACAGCCAGCAGCCCAGGACAGGCCCCGTACACAGGGGTTGCAGTGCTGACTGCAGGCGTGTGTTTCCTGGCCTGAGAGAGCATTGAGAGCAAGACGATTTAACAGCAGCATTTGGAACAAGACTCAAAACCAGGATGGCGGCCGCGTGCATGTGGATTGCTAGAAGCTTCCATGTGAATGTGAAGCAGTGGCCGTGTTCCTTACCTGCTGAGCAGCTGCAGCAGCATTCCCGGCTCCTTCCTCGGAGGTCTGCTGTAAGGATTCAGGGATGGGGAGGTGCCCGCGTGTGGCTCGGGCTGTCCGTTAGAGTCCTGCAGCGCTGCCTGGGAGTTTACCTAGAAGACGTGACGGAGTGAGGAGCTGCCGTAGCTCAGAGGGCATGTGGAAGGGGACCTCGGGGCCTTGGCCTTGCTTGGCTACCCGCATCCTCTGTTGCGTAGTACTGCGGTCCTGGGAAGTCGATACCAGATTAGAAAGATGCCTCGGTGGGCTCAGGGCCCTGGCCTGGGCGTCTAGCCACCTGTCCCATGGTAAGGCCTGAAGAGCTAGGACTCACAGACAGCACTAGAGCCATGTTAGGTTTTCTGGAATCCTATGGATCTGTTACAGATAGAAAAAAAAAGGAGCAGATTGTTGGTTCAGTGGGCAAGCTAGCTGTTGATGTGGGTTTATATCATTCTTGCAACTTATCTCAGGCCACTAGGGCTTCCTGGCAATTCTTTTCCATGCATCCGCCTCTGGGCCTATCCTCAGAGCCACCCAGAGTTCAGTTGGCCTGAAGACTGCCCTTTCTTGGGGAGGAAGGTAGGGTGGGGAGAACGCCTCACTTTGGGGTTATGGCATTGTCCATGACTGCGAGCATTTGTCCCGAGGTGGAAAATTACCTTACTTTGTTTCAGTGTAAGCCCCGTCGATGGATGGCACATAGACGGACAGACTATCCGGGGTCTGAAAAGTGTGTATGAAGGGTAGATGGAAGTTAGGGAAGATGTCAGGGTGGTTCCTTGGAAGAGGATGACAGATTGTGACACGGGATGTAAAGGAGGCTTAGGGTCACAGGAGCAGGAGTCAGCCCTCCGCCCTGCCACTGGGCAGATCTGCCCTGCCCCTGGAGCCGACCCCTGTCCTGCCCAAGCACATGGCAGAGGCTGGCTGGCGCGCTCTTGCGCTGCGCCTGCATGCTGCCCTGGGCTGTCTCTGGCCCCTGGACCTTTGGTTCTGCAGCCCTCTCCCCAAGCACCTCCCACCCATCAGGCTGGCGCCCAGCCTAGGGCTGCGCAAATGAGACTGAGCCCCTCCCTGGGCTGCTGTGGGGCAAGATGCGGGGGACTGTTCTGTGACTGTGTGGAGAGGACCCGGTGGCCATCCCATCCTCCCCGAGGGTCCTGCGAGGTGCCAGGCTGGGCCAGGGACCAACTACATCTGTATTCCCACTTCAGCCAATGCCCCAAAGCCAGCAAGATGGGGAACCTGTGGAGAGCCTGTCGCGTGGGGTAGGTGCAAGTGCGTGCACCGAAGGCCACCATTCAGATGCACAGCACGAGCAGTGGGGAGGGGCAGAGACGGTGGGGAGGGACTCCCCCAGGCTCTTCACCCTAGGGAGCTGCTAGGCAGCGCTCCCTGATGACCACCCCTCACCGCCACCCTTTCTCACTCTAGGTCTGACTACGACGACTGGAGACCGTCCCTGGCCAGCTTGCTTCAACCCATTCCATTCCCCAAAGAGTAAGTTCCCCTCCTAGCGGGGGCTGCACTTCAAAAAACACACCAAGTCACCGTGAGGAGACCCCATGACCCACGGACGGCATAGCCTGGCTCTGGGGCCACACAACGTGGCAGAGTCCCGGGGATGCACTGAGTTCAGGAGGTCTCCAGACCCTCCCCATCCAGCCATGACATGACGGACACGCAGTTTTGAATATGCCTCAGCAGGGACCAGTAATACTTGCTCCTCTTGTCTCCCAGGAGGACGGTAAAGGGAAAAAAAAGCAAAAGATAATGTGTCAGGTAGAGTAGTGCACACTTGTAATCCCAGCATTTGGAAGCCTGAGGCAGGAGGCTATGGAGTTTCCAGGCCAGCCTGAGCTACAGTGCCCCCAAAAAAACCCATAATGCATGTGGAGTCGTGTTCCATGCTGGGTGGTGAATGCTGGAAGCTTCCCTGCACTCACTGCCACCGTGTGTTCGTGTTCCACTTCTGCTCTGGCCAGGGACGGCCCCTCTGTCTTCCTCTCGCCGGCCTTCACCCCGGTGTTGAGTTTCTCACAGGCGCCAGGCGCAGCAGTGGTGAATGTGGCCTGAGGACGGCTGGGTCCCAGTCGCCGCCTCGGATGCCGCTGGGGCTCTGTTTTGATAGATTGGAAGAAGCCAGGCCCCGGGAGGCGGCCGGGGCTCTCTGTGGAGCCCATTAACAAGCCTCTGTTTATGAAATGCGGCCCCTCTGAGGAGGGCATTACACTCAGTAATTGCCCCATTTGCTGGCCCCGCCAGTTCCCTGGAGGCCCCGGGACTGGAGACCGGAGAAATCTGACTCCTGAGAGCTGCTCTGTGTCGCAAGGGCCATGGTATCACAGGCTGCAGCCGCTGTCCCCACAGGCCTGGGCACACTTGACGGGCCCATGATGCAATGCGCCTGGAAGAATGGTCCCTGAGTGCCTGCTGACGTGCGCCAGTCATTAGTGTGGCCCTGCCTTAATTGTGGAACAATTAACGAACACACCTGGGTCTCCAGAGCCCACGCGTGTCCCGGGTGCATCACGCGCCCGGTTAGCGCTGCGGGTGTTGACAGGTGTGTCACGGTGGTGGCTCTGGGGTGTGGGGGCTCCTCACCTCCCACCCAAGGAGATCTTTGTTCGGGAGCTTAGACTAGGCACAAAATGTGAGCATTTCATTCTCAATTTCCCTTTCATTCTTCAAGTCAGACGTAAAGTCTAGACGTCCCTGGAGGAAACCGGAACCGGGCTGTGCCCGCCGAGGCCCGCTAACACCTTTTCCCTTTGTTTCTATGCAGAGCCCTCGCACACGAGAAGTTCACCAAGTGAGTATGCAGGCCGCACCCTCCTCACCCTCTCCCGGTCCTAGGGTCCAACCGTGAGGTCACCCTCCTTCCAGTCTGTGCGGGGACCGCCTGCATCGTGGGAGGCCACAGCGGCTCCTTCTGAGTGCTCGCCTGCACCCCCACCTCTTCACCCCCCCCCCCCAGTCCACGCGTGCCCGGGCGTCCCCGGGAAGCACCAAGTACACCTTGGACCTGCCTGGCCCGTGCCTTTGGGTTCTGCCACGCCCGGCCCGTGACCGCTCTGCCCGCCTCTCTTCCAGGGAGCTGAAGTATGTGATTCAGAGGTTTGCGGAAGACCCGCGACAGGAGGTGAGCCTTGGTCTTTTCTCTTTTTTGGTGCAGGCATGGGCTTGAATTCAGGGCCTTACGCTCTCACGTACCTTTTTTACTCAAAGCTGTCACTTGACCACCTGAGCCACAGTTCTACTTCTGGCTTTTTGCTAATTAGTTGGAGAGTCTCTTAGATTTGCTTGCTTGGGCTGGCTTCGAACCACGATCCTCAGATCTCAACCTCCTGAGTAGGATCAGAGCCTTTGGTGCCTGGCTTCTGGGGCAGCTTTTGACCTCTGGGTCACGTGGCCATGGGTTCCCCGAGGAGCCACACTGCCTTTCAGAAGCCACGCTGATGTGCTCTCCTGGCCTTGCATTTGTTTTGTGTGGGCGTGAAGCCTGTGAGCAGGCCCTTCCCGGCCGGACCCCCTTTTTCTGTCGAATTGCCCCCTTTCAGAGTTGAGAAAATGGAGGCTCATCGCCACCCTGAGGTTGCCCGGTGGCACGTGGCCCAGGCTGAACGCAAAGCTCACGGGCCTGGCCGCACAGCCCCATCCTCTTCTCACAGTGCAGTCTGGTGCGCTCGGTGGGCCCCGGGGCGTGCTTGTCAGCAAGACAGGCTCTCGTCCATCGCCCCTGACGGTCCAGCCAGGTCGCTGGGTCTGTCTGGCCGGCAAGGAGTCTGGGTTTTGAACAAGCATTCTTTATGGTTCTCAAAGTGGTCTCTAAAGCCACACCAGAAAGCTTGCTTCGAGAAGGATCTAGTTCTAAAACACGGTGCTGCTCACACCAGTTTCAGAAGCAGTGCTGTGTGTGACAGGGAAGGGTATTGGAAGGCTGGGCTCCAGCCCTGGCCCTTGCTTTCACCCGAAGTCATTCCTTAGCACGTGTGAAGAGACAGAGTCTCAGAATTCTAGCACCAGCCAGCCTTGAAGTGGGAAGAACAAAAGTAGGGCCGGCAGCTTCCAGAACAGAGCAGCAGAGGCAGCTTCTGGAAGGGAAATTTCCGAGCCAGGGACACACACGAGAGTCCTCAGGGGGCGGAGCTTTAGGAAGGAGCAGCTGTCCGAGGTAGCACCTAGCCCAGCACCTAGCCCGTCCTCCTCGTGGCCCTCCACCCCCTGCCCTGTGAGCCTCTCCTCACCTCCCCCTCTCCCTCCCCCTTCTTTCTCCTTAAGTGAAGTTAGAATTGTTACTTTAATTCTCTGCCATCTTGGCGAGTGGCATTTCCTAGTCTTTGAGTCCTTACTCCTGTGAGGAAAGTATGTCAGTCAGTATTGACTTGTCTTCCGGCTACCGGGAAGTACAAAAAGCCCACTGCCTAGCCAGGTGCTGGTGGCTCACGCCTGTAATCCTAGCTACTGAGGAGGCTGAGATCTGAGGATCACAGTTCAAAGTTCTGGACAAGGAAAGTCTGTGAAACTCTTATCTCCAATAAACCACTAGAAAACTGGAAGTGGTGCCGTGGTTCAAGAGGTAGAGCGCTCACCCTGAGCTGAAGAGCTGAGGGACAGCGCAGACACAGTGGTGTTCATGTGTATAATCCTAGCTACTTGGTAGACACAGAAGGGTTGTGGTTTGAGACCAACCTGAGACTCCAGCTACTAGCTGGGTGCGGTGTTGCATACGAGTCATCGGAACCACAGGGAGGGCCCGGGGGGAAGAAAGGAGAGGAACAGCCCCACCCAGGGGAGGCCATGGGGCTGGATTTCAAGCAGAGGCTTACCCTGGGTGGCCCGCCGCAGCACTGCCCCGGGCCTACTACCCAGCCGGGCCTGGCCTCCATGCTGGGAGCCACCAGTGCCTGGTTGGGGGGGGGCGGGGGCTCTCCAGGCTACCCCAAGAGAACTTTGTAGTCTGGAATCCCGCAGCTGAAGGAAGTGACACCCATTCCTAACCGCCCGGCTGGTGGACATTTTCCCGGGCAGATTTTGGGTCACCGTGTCACCGGGTCGCGTCTCTGCCCGACAGGTCCACTCGTGCCTGCTGAGCGTGCGGGCCGGCAAAGACGGCTGGTTCCAGCTGTACAGCCCCGGAGGGGTGGCGTGCGACGATGACGGGGAGCTCTTCGCCAGCATGGTACGCAGCGCGGCCTCCGCCTGCCGCCTCTCCCCGCCCGCCGCGTCTCCCCGCCCACCTCGACCCTCCCCCAGAGCTGCTGCTCACCAAGAACACAGCTGCCAGCCCCTCCTGTCCACCTGAGCCGCGGGCCCTGTTCCCACACCCCCACGCTCCCCCTGCTCCCGGAGCTAGGCCGCTTACTGGCCCCCATCTTATAGACGAGGCCGTTGAAGGCCCGGGCACCGCCCGCCTCAGCCACAGTTACCTGTCGCGCTCGTGTTCTGTGCAAAGGACGGGGTGTGGCAACACGCGGCTGGATTCCGGAAGGCCCTACAGAGCCACCAGCGCCATGCATTCTAACAGTGAGGGTCCCTTTAAACTCCTGTGAAAGGAAGTGGGTCTTGGCCTTGCCCAGGCTCGGGTGGTAGCCCAGCCGCCCACCGGCTGCTCCCTGGGCAGTCACCTGCCTTTCTGGGCTTCGGTGTCCTCATCAGCACCGCAGGGAGCACGGTTGACCCCTCAAGGGAACCACAGCAGTTTCCCACAGCAGCAGGTACGATTCTGTGCTGCCCATGCGGGGGCTCCCAAGCCCTGGGCCTGATGACCCTCGTCTCCACTGCCCCCATCGTGAGGCGAGGGGAGATCTTTGGGCGGTCCTAACAACCTGAGGCCCCGCCGCTGGACGCACTCATAGTGGGCTTTCGGGTCCCTTTCCTCCCCCCTCAGCACCCCTCACCCGTTTCCACTGGGCTCCTTGCCCAGTGCTCTGTGCACCCCCTTGAGCACTTGGACCACCTTCCACCAGCTCTGATGTCACCGCTTCCAGTGGCAACACCCCCGTGCCCCGCCCCTCCGGGCGGGACTGCCGCGAGCGCCCAGGAGCTGGCAGCCTCCCAGCTTGAGAGATTCCGTTTGTACACCAGAGCTGTTAATGATGGCGTGGAAAGAAATGTCACCAGGGAAGGAAGCAGGCAGCCAGCAGGCTGGAGATGTGTTGTTTCCATGGAGATGGAGATGTGTTGTTTCCATGGAAATTCACGATGAGAAAGTGGGCCCTGGACCAGCAGCGGGCGCTTGATACTGTGTGCGGGGGAGGAGGTCTCCCCGGCTCTGATAGCATCTGATGGCAGGTCAGGGTCCCCTTTCCTCAGACTCCCCACCCCCCTCATACCAGGAAGAAAGACACCCCGGAGGGGCAGGCTTGCCACGTGCGTGGGTTGTGGGGTAAGCAGTCTTGGCAGGCGCCCTCAGGAGCGCACAGTGCCAGCCTCAGGAGCTGTGTGTAACCAGCAAGTTACCATCTTAGCCTCCTGCAAACTCGCAGCTCACTGACTCCCAGTGCAGTGGTAATGGTGTGCCGCAGTCACCACCACCGTCTCTAGAACTTTCCTGGTATCCCAGCTTCACCTCAGAGCCCACCAGGCGCTAACCATCCTCCTGCCCAGCCCCACTGCCATGTCCCGTCTCCTCCCTGCCAGTGCGCCCATTACAGTCCTCTTGGTCACTCGGCAGAATGGCCTCAAAGACGTTCGTGTGGGGAGGGGTCTCTACGCAGCCACTGCGGGTCTGGTGGTCGCTGAGGGCCTCACTGTCCACACGGGGTCCGGCCAGGGCTGGCCCCAGGGAGCTGGCCGTGGCTTCCTCCATCCTCACCTGCCCCTTCCTGCCCGCAGGTGCACATCCTCATGGGCTCCTGTTACAAGACCAAAAAATTCCTGCTCTCCCTGGCGGAAAACAAGCTGGGCCCGTGCATGCTCCTGGCGCTGCGGGGAAACCAGACCATGGTGGAGGTGAGGGCTGGCGGGGGGGCGGGCGGGGGGGCAGGCCCAGCCCTCCCCAGCTCGAGAGCACCACCTCAGTTGTGACTGGCGTGTTGGAGGGAGCGGGGAGCGGTGGCGGGTCCCTTCTGTGTAATACACCTGGGGCCAGTCGGGCATGAGCTACCACACTCAGTTGTGCACACGAGACTGGGCGCTGGGCCCCGCAGTGCTCACTTCTCACTCGGGGTTCAGCTGGCTCACCGGCGGGTGGAGGCAGAGGGGTCCTCCCAAAGCCATCCCGCACCAGTCTGAGGACACCGTTGGAACAGCTGGCTTCTGGCCTCCATTTTCATGTGTGACCTAGGGAAGCCACACATGCCCAGAGCATGAGCCCAAGCCCCTCACAGACCACGTGCTGCTCCTCCCCCTTCGATTGCCTGCCACACCTCGAGTCCCCAGAGTCCCGGAGAAGGCAGAAGCCCGCCAGCTTAGCCAGGAAGTCAGGTGGCATTGCCACCTCGGCATCATTCTGCCCTTCAGAAGTGAGTCACTAGCCAGGCACTGGCAGCTCATGCCTGTAATCCCTGTAATCCAGCTGCTCAGGAGACAGATCTAAGGCTTGTGGTTCAGAGCCAGGCAGGAAAGGTCCTGAGACTTAACTGAAAGTGGAGGTGTGGCTCAAGTAGTAGAGCGCCAGCCTTGAAGGAGAATGTGAAGGGAAAGGCGTCAGGCCCTGAGTTCAAGTACCAAGTCACCAAGCTGGTGGTGTGTGGGCAGACAAAGAAACTACAGGCATGGTGCCGTAAAACAGCATGTTTCCCACGGAAGTGGCTGGGCAGCGGGATCAGAGCACCTGAGGCACCGAGTCAGCACAGGCCAAGGCCCTGTGGCGAGGAGAGGCTTGTTGGAGGTCAGGGTGGCTGAAACAGTAGATCTGGAAACAGAGGAGTGGGCTGTGGCTGGATGCGCATTGAGCCCGTCAGTACCAGACCAGAGATGCTGGATTGGGGCTTACAGCAGATAGCAGGAGAGAGGAGCTGAGGGGGGCTGGAGCCTCCCCTGGGCGGTCCTGGGAGAAAGTCCCGGCAAAGGATCTGGCCAGCATGTTGACCCAAGGTGACCGCCGCGCCAGGGGACGCGAGGTAGAGGCCGCTAGCCTAGCTCTGCACATCTGTCTGGGGACACCAGTTCCCAGTGAGACCCACGGGGCGCGTGTGTGGACCCTCTCGGGCCACGCAGGTGACGTGCGTGTGGCTTGCACAGATCCTCTGCTTGATGCTGGAATACAACATTATTGACAACAAGGACACGCAGCTGCAGATCATCTCCACGCTGGAGAGCACGGATGTGGGGAAGCGCATGTACGAGCAGCTGTGCGACCGCCAGCGGGAGCTCAAGGAGCTGGTGAGCCGCGCCTGGGGAGGGGGACACTGTGCCACAGGGGCCTGGCCACCAGTCCCCAACACAAGCCCAGGCTTGCTACTACCCCTGCTTCTCTGCGAAGGGCGTTTGTGCACATGCCCACTGGCCCGGTGGGGTGTCCTAATATATGGGTGGCCACAGTGTCACTGCTACCTGTATTTCTCAGGATTGCATCTGCATAGAGCAGCCGTGAGAGCCGGGGGCGGCGGGGGGGGGAAAGGGGGTGCACAGGGCGGGGGGCTGGGTGGATGGCATCCTAATCCATCTGCTTTCTCTGCAGCAAAGGAAAGGCGGTCCCACCAGGCTAACACTGCCCTCAAAGTCCACGGTGAGTCTTGGGCCTCAGAGGTGGGGTGATGGGGAGGCAGCTCTGTCAGGGCCAAGTGGGGTATGGGAAGAGAAGCAAGAACCAGGAGAGCAAATGGTGAAGCCATCAGGTGGTGCTGGGTGTGTGTGGTGCTCTGGGGTGGACACCAGCTTAGCACGTATGAGGACCTGGTTCAGTGTTCACCACTACACACACACACACACAGCCAGTCTTTCTTAGCAATAACGGCTGATAGCAAGTTTACGCTATTGAATCACTAATCTCTGCCCTGCAGTTGGTGTTGGTTTGGTGTTGACACTGCTGTTTCCAGGGTTTTCAGGGATCTTACAGTCTGCTTCCTCGTGGTCTCTGATGGAAGTGTGGGTTGCAGACAGGGCCAAGACAGTGCGCCAGGAGGCCCAGCCAGCAGGAGGGGTAGGAGGTGGAGGAGAACGTGCTCTTCCTTCCAGAAGGTTCTAACATCTCCTTGTGCCCATTCAGCACCTGGCCTGCAGCTGTCGTTCAGGGCAGCCAGGTGGCGGCTACACATCAGATTGTGGCACGGCTGCCATCCCCGCTCCTCGGGGCATCTGCCTGTGGCTCGCGCCTGCCATCTCCGCTCCTCGGGGCATCTGAGGCTTCCAGTTTGAAGCCAGTCGGGAGTGGCAGGAAAATGGAGGCTGCCCTCGGGGCGCAGCCTGGGGCTGCAGGCAGACTTTGTGGTTTCCTTCATGCCCGGAGCTCAGGGCGCGACCTCCCAGCGGGCCTCCCAGACACGCGTGTGCACACACCACTGTGACGGGGCAGCGGCCTCACGCCAGCCACCACACCTCCACTGCCTCACCACACGCGGACTCCCCGCACGCCCTGAGCCCCGCTCCTGCCCCTGCAGGACGCTGACCTGGCCCGCCTGCTGAGTTCTGGCTCCTTCGGGAACCTGGAGAACCTGAGCCTGGCCTTCACCAACGTCACCAGTGCCTGCGCCGAGCACCTCATCAAGCTGCCCTCCCTCAAGCAGCTCAACCTGTGGTCCACGCAGGTGCCGCCACCCCCCACTCCCCCTGCCCTGCTCCCCCTGCACAGCCTCCCTCCCACCCCTGCACAGCCCCCCTGCCACACCTCCGCCCCCCCACAGGGCTGTCCCTGAGCCCGGTGCCCACTCCCCCCAGGCAGCAGGGGTGGAGGACATGCTGTGGCCCATTTCTCAGTGGGGACCGCCGAGGCCTTGGGGAAGGGCATGCGCAGACTCCTGGGTGGGGGAGAAGCGCGGGTAGAGGAGACACGGGGCCTGCTGCGGGGGCACGCATGGATGGCCGGTGGTCGTAGGCTGCTGACACCACGTGCCACGCCACCCCCATGTTGGCAGAAGGAAAATTGTGCCCGTCAGCTGGCCCCACCGGCGCCTGGAGGCTCGCCGAGCGCAAGGCCCCTGGACTCGCAGGGAGGCCCTGGCCCACGCCCCAGGCCCGGCCTGTATCCGGGAGGAGAGCGGCCCTCCCCAAGCTCATGGCCACAGCTCAGCGCCAGGCCCGCCCGCTGCCCTCCCTGCCCAGCCAGGTGCTGGAGAGGCTGAAGGTCTCTATTTCCCACAGTTTGGCGATGCCGGCCTGCGGCTCCTGTCAGAACACCTCACCATGCTCCAGGTGCTGAACCTGTGCGAGACCCCGGTCACCGATGCCGGGCTGCTGGCCCTCAGCTGTGAGTGCCCGGCCACACGCCCAGTCCCTGCCAGGCTGGGAGCAAAGCAGAGCGGGGTACCTTCCTTGGGGAGCTCCCCGTCTGAGCCAGGCACCAGTGGCTCCCCAGAAACTGAGACCTGGGCATCCTGGTTCAAAGCTAGTCAGGGCAGAAAAGTCCGGGAGACCGCCGATGAACCACTAAAAAGTCACAGGTGGAGCTGTGGCTCAGGTGGTAGAGCACTAGCCCTGGGTGGAAAGGCTCAAGAGCAGAAGCCAGGCCCTCAGTCATGCCCCCGTGCCAGCATACAAAGGGGGAGAGGCAGCCTAGCGGAAAGGGTCATTGCCCTGTTCTGGGGGGCTCTAGGGGGAGCGTGGAGGCAGGGGTGGGATTCGGGAGAGCGCATTCTCTCTAGGTGGGACTGGTCCTGATGCCCACTGCCGGCTTCGGTGCCCGCCTGGCCCCTCGGGCACCCCAGAACAGACGGGGACGTTTGTCTCAGCCAGCTTAAGAACCAAGCTGGATCTTGGTTTAGGAAGGGGCGGATCTGAGATGCGGCCCGAGGGAGGCGCTGTCCCGCTCCCCACTCAGAGCCTGGGGGGGCAGGTGTGCTGTGAGGTTTAGCCATCAGAGGGCCCCACAGAGGGCAGGGGGCACAGAGGCCCAGTTCCAGCCACATCGGGAGTGAACAGCACCGCAGCCTCCCGCCCGTCCCCACTGGGTGCCGCCGGCCATCCGCAGCAGCTGGCACGCGCTCACTGTCCGTCTGTCCTTGCACAGCCATGAAGAGTCTCTGCAGCTTAAACATGAACAGCACCAAGCTCTCGGCTGACACCTATGAGGATCTGAAGGTGAGCGCTCCCTCCCCGCGGCCACAGCTGTCTGCGGGGTGGGGCAGGGCCGGGCTGCCCCTGGAAGAAGAGGCCTGCGGAAGGGAGGGAAGCCAGGGTCCGGCGGGAGCGGCCCAGGGCTCCGGGCAGCAGGTGGACAGGCTCGTGGGACTTCACCCCGCGTCGCTGGGCATCTCCAGAGCCTGGTGGGCTGCCGCAGCTTGGCAGAGCTTGCGTGTCGGGGTGGCCTTCCACAGGGCAGTCTGGGCGGGGAGGGGCGTGACGAGGTCCCTTCCCGTTCCCCGCAGGCCAAGCTCCCTAACCTGAAGGAGGTGGACGTCCGCTACACCGAAGCCTGGTGAAGGGCCGGCTGCGCGGGATGGCGCCAACCGTGGGACGTTGCTTAGCTGTAGAGCAGTGGGTCCTGGGGTCACACCTGACACCGGCTGCGGGATAGATGGGGGAGGGGAGGGGGTCCGCAGCGCCCAGTCCCCACCTAGTTCTTTTAGCTTCATAATTGGAACCTCTGACCTGACCGAGCGCGGACTTCGCAGCAACAAGAGGGGCTCCGCGGCTCGGGAGGGGAGGCGGGCCCCTTCGTGGATTTCCTTTGCCTTTGTGTTCAGTGCCGTGTGGGAAGGTCTCGTTACCCCCACACCATCTCGGCCGGGGGGGGGGGCGCTGGCCTCCCGGAGGCACCAAGCTGAGCTGAGGTCACCCCGCATCTGGGGACAAAGCCCAGCCCCATCTCCCCCGTTCTGCGTCCTCACCCCGCGTCTGGGGACAAAGCCCAGCCCCATCTCCCCCGTCCTGCGTCCTCACCATTGCTATGCAACGTGGTTCTTGTTGTACATAAGATTTACATAATGCACCTATTTAAGAAATGTTGGCAAATTGCAGGTCTGGGACCTGCTGTTATTTATGAAGTCTTTGACACCCCCCCCCCCAGCCTGTAGTACTGTACGAACCAGTCAGCCGTCGGGTTAGTGCTAGTGTTATTGTTATTTTTTTAAAGGAAACAGACAAAAAAAGAAAAAGGAAAAAAAAAACACAACAAAAGTCCCTCCTTGGAGAATTAATTGCTTTTCCGTAGCGATCCTGTGTGCTGATGCTGGCCGGTGGTCTGTGCGTCACTGCTGCTGCATATTTCTGATTTCTAAATGTTCCCAGCTTCCTCAAATGGTGGCAGTCAGGCTCGGGGTGGGGGGAGGAAATGGGGTTCCATACTGCAACTTGCTCCTCTAAGACCCAAACTCTTCCTCTCTCCCCCCTTTTATCGATTTGGAGGGGTGCTCACCCTCACCCCTGTCCGCCCCCTGTAGAGCTGCCCCCCCCCCAGCTCGTCCCTGCTGGCCTTCCCTGGCCTTGTCCTAACTGAGACTTGTGGCCCCTCCGTCATGTGCCCCCCCCCGCCCTCACGCATGCCGGCCTCTTGCATGGTCTCGGAGAGGAGAGATAGCGCCCCACCAGCCTGACCACCGTGTCCCCCGCGCCCCGACAAGCCAACCTCGTGTCCTTTATGAACAGTCGGCTTTTTCTTACCAAGCCCTCTCTGTACAGAACAGCCCCTGGATGGTTTATTTGGGGTCCCCCCCAGCCCCTTTTTTTTCTGTTGGTTTAGCACAAGTACTCCCTCCTCCCTTTCCTCTAGCACCTCCCGCTGAACCCACCTTCGATGTAATTGTTTTATAAATATTTAATCTTATTCAATGGAAACCATGCTTTTGTCGTTTTATACTTTGCTAGGTAGACTTTATTACCCCCGACGATACCCTCATTTTTTTAAAAAAGGAAAAAAAAAACCACCACCAAGAGCAAAATTGGGTTTCAGTCTTAATTCACTTTTACGTGCCAGGTTTTTTCCCCCCCGGTGTGGGTGCGTGTGAGTGTGTGCCTGTACACGTGTGTGCACACGTGTGTGTGTGTGTGTGTATGTGTGTGTAGTGTGTTCTGTTTTAGTGTTCTGTTTTCTGTTGTCGTTTTCTGTTTGGTTTACGACTCTCCCCTTCCCCCAGTTTCGTACTTCACAGCAAGCACCCTGGTGCCGGAAGAAGCAGAAACAAAAAACATTTTTAAAAATTAAAAAAGAAGAAGAAAGAAGAGCCCCTTCCCCTTCCCCTTCCCCGCACTGTTGCTTTTCCTGGTGGTCCCACTACTGTCACGTAGCTGTACAAAGAGATGTGAAATACTTTCAGGCAAAAATAAACTGTAAGTGACTCATCGACGGCTGGTCTCTCTGTGTACTTTGGGGGGCTTAGGGGCCCCTGACCCCAGGCCATGGGCAGGCCCAGCACCCCGCTGAGGGCCCCCAGCGTCCTCCTGTCCACCTCCCCGGCCACACTCCCACCGCCTCCGTGACAAATCCCCACGCCTTGCCTGCCCCCGGCCCTGCTCAGCCTGCCCCCTCCCCGCGCCTGCCCCCTCCCCACACACCTGCCGCCCTGCAGACCCTGACCTACAGGCTGGAACTGTGCGTTTCTTTTTTCTTTTTGTTTTCCTGTTGGTCGCTGGGCTTGAACTCAGGACCTAGGCACTGTCCCTGAACTCTTTAGCTTAAAACTAGTGTTCTATCACTTTGAGACACAGCAGCACTCCTGGTTTTCTGGTGGTTCATTGGAGCTAAGCATCTCAAGGATTTTCCTGCCTGGGGCTGCCTTTGAACCCAGATCCTCAGATTTCAGCCTCCTGAATAACTAGGATTGCAGATGTCAGCCACCAGCGCCGCGCTGTGGCTCTGCATTTCGGACACTTGGGGCCCACAGTCTAGGCCTAACCATCGGCTCCCTTCCCTCTCCCTTCCAGGGTCTCCCCTTACCCAGTGACGGGGCCTGGTATGCCTGCAGTCCCAGCCCCGCCCTCCTGTCCCAGCAACCTCATCTTGCTGGGCCTCTCTTGAGGACAGGAACACGCCCCTGACGCCCTTCCGGCCACCCAGCTCCATGCACCCCACCTCCCCCAGCCCCAGCGCAGCCCCTGCACTGCAGGCATGAAGCGGAGATGCCAGTGGCTCAGCACCCCCAGTGCAGGGGCCGCAGGAGACAAGGGAGCCTCCCCCGTGGGCCTGGGCTCGGGCAGCACGGCTGTCTGGGCAGCCACACGTCATGTTTGAGAGCCTTTACTTCATCCTCGCCCCCAGCCCAGAGTAGAAGTCTAAGTGGGACCTGGGAGGGGCCGGTGGTCACCGTGTCTGCAATTCCTGCCCCTCGCTGGCCGGGGGTGGGAGATTGACTGCCACTTTGGAAACATCTGCCAAAGCAAAGCACGTGCAGAACTCGGCTCCTACAGACCCCTACACCTAAGATTTGTGATTGACTGTTTCACATCAGTTGGGGTGGGGGGAGATGTTTTGTTTTCTAAACCAGTCCTGGGGCTTGAACTCAAGGCCTGAGCTTGCTTTTGCTCAAGGCTAGTGCTCTACTGCTTTTGAGTCACAGAGTCATTTCCAGCTTTTTGGTAATTAACTGGAGATGAGTCTCAGACTTTTCTACCTGGGCTGGTTTTGAACTGCAATTCCCTGATCTCAGCCTCCTGAGTAGCTAGATGTCACGCATGAGCCCCCAAAGTCTGGCCACATCAGAATTTTTGGGTTGTGTGGTTTTGTTTTTTTGGTCGGTCATGGGACTTGAACTCTGAGCCTGGGTGCTGTCCAGCTCTTCAGCTCAAGGTGAGCGCTCTACCACCTGAGCCACTTCCGGTTTTCTGGTTTATTGGAGGTAAGAGTCTCATAGACTTTCCTGCCCAGGCTGGCTTTGAAACTTAATCCTCAGATCTCAGCCTCCTGAGTGGTTAGGCTTACAGGTGTGAGCCACAGGCGCCTGGCATCAGAAATAACCCAATCGTCCAACAAGTGATGGTAAATACATGTGAAAAATAGAAAAATAATGGGATATGATTTGATCATAAAAAAAGAATGAGATACTGACTTTTTTTCTGTATCACTAATGAGCCCCAAAATTGTGTTGAGTGAAAGAAGCCCACACACAATATAATTCCATGTATGTGAAATGTCCAAATCCAAAATGGGCGAATCCATGGGCACAGGACACAGATTGGTGTTTACCAAAGGTCTGGGTGAGGGAAAAGCCTCTGGTGCATTCTGCAGCTAGATGGTGGTCGGGCTGTCCAACACTGAAGACTCTGTATGCCTCGGAGAGGCTGGCCTGGAACGTGTGATCCTCCTGCCCCAGCCTCCCCAGGGCTGAAATCACAAGCGTGCCAATCACAATACCTAGCCAAAGTGATTTCTCAAAGTGACAAACAAGCTGGCTGCTGTTGCCCGCAGCTGTGTCAGGGCCTGTGTGGGGGCAGCTGGGCGGCACTGTGTCCTTCCTTAAAAGACAATACCTTACTGCCACCTGCTGGAAGGTGTTAGCAGACCCTTGAGTGCCGGGGCCTAGCGCATGCCCAGCCTGCACCCATGTACCCAGGAGCCGGTGTAACTTTGTTTTGGCTGCCTTTTCTGCCAGCACTCTAGTGATGAAGCCAGAGAGAGAAGGAGGGAGGGAGGGGGGGAGGGAGAGACCCATTCCAGAACCTTTGTACTCAGATGTGGCCCATGGATGCTACCCAAGTGAGGTGAGGGTTGGAATGGGTCTCCAGCCACCCTGGATTACTGAGTGAGCGGTTTGAGGCCACTGTCCCCAGGCCTTGTCTCCGGGTTGTAATCACCGGGGGAGTGTGAGACCCAGGCAGCCCAGCTGCCCACCCCCCACCCCCAGGTGTGAGTCTGCGGTGGGGCCTTGTAATGCAGCTTTCCAAAGCTTCCAGATGATTCCAGTGGGTAGTCAACACCACTGGTCTATACCTGTCTCATGATGGAGGACCCTGGACCAGCATCCGGACCCCAGGGAGCTGCTTAGGAGCCCGGCGGGGGGACAGGCTTGCCCACATTCCCATGTGCTCTCAACTTGGTGCTGAGTATGCAGATGCCCTGCTCAGAGCGTCATAGCCTGGCATGCCCAAGGTGCATGCCGGGCGCGTTCCTGAGGCCAGTCAGGGCAGCTGCAGAGAGAGGCCCAGAGCCAGCCCCAGACGCAAATCCTGCCCTGGGGCAGGATGGGAAGGCGCTTCTCCCGGCTCCTGACCGCCGTTGGCTTTTCCTCCTTTGTAACGGGGACCGTGGATGGGACCAGGGACCGAGGGCCAAGCACCAGGCTGGCTCTCCCAGCATGGCCAGGGAGAAGGGGCAGCAGGCCCCTCCCGCTGAGGGAGCCGGGGAACCAGTCTCCTTGGGAGCAGGCTCTTCCTGGTGGGCTCCTGTCTGTCTCTCACCCTGGATTATGAGGCCGGCGGCTGGGGTTCCTGGGGCTGGTGGTGAGCAGCGGGCGCTGCCGACTGAGCATGCATGTGGCAGGGCTGTCTCAGCACTGCCCCAAGGAAAGGTGACCAGCCATGTGGAACATTTAAAATGATATAGGTGTGATTGTGTATGTGTGTGTGTACGTGCACACGTGTGTGTATGTTCATA